GAATTAATCTAAATCTAACTATAAATATAATTATAATAACATATATAATATTAATGAATTTTTTTGAAAGAAACAGATTTTCTAAATGATAACAAAGTTACTAACTATTGAATATTAAATGTTATTACCAACTATAAAAATTTATTACACATAAAAAATAATATGCTATTTTATCAATAGTAATTTAGATAATCCAAATTTCATTATACGATTTTATGAGAAGCCTACATAAAAGGTATATAACAAACCTAAATTTCAAATATTTTAATATGTTAATATCTAAATTTAGAAATTCTAGAAAAAAAAATATATTAATTTTATATTAATTTACATTTTAACTTAAAATAAGAAATATTCTAAAAAATAATGTAGAAGATTAATTTTTTTATAAGATTTGGATATTCAATAAATTTTTTTTTCATTTCTTCTAAATAAAAACAAAAAAAAATTATAATTCACAAGATTTATAATTTTTTAAAGAAGCAATATTTTTTACTATTGTTATAATAATGTATTAAAATATTCATAATAAGATATATATAATATATTAATATTTTAATTCTAATATTATATATTAATATTTTTAAATAAATTTTGAGAATTTTTATTATCTATTTTAATATCTAATCGAATAAGTAATTTTTATAAAAAAAGGTGACTTTAATTTTAACTAATAATAATAAAATTAATATCTATTAATTATAAGAAAAAAATATATCTAGATTTAACTATTTATATCTATAATGCATGATAATACGTATTCATCTAATTAAAATATGAAGAAATAAATTCATTCACGTAAATTAATATTATAAAACTTTATGTAAAAATATATAAAAATATATAAATTTTAAAAATATACAATAACAAAAACAATACAATAGATTTAAAAAAATATATATTGATTGCATACGTAACTTATTACCAAAGAAAACAAAATAAAATTAATACAGTGGAATTCCAATTTAATTTAACATGCTAGAACAGTATTTTCCAACTTTGTTTGAAAATACTTTTAGAATATTAAATGTGTTTGAAATCAGTTTACAATGATTTGAAATCATCTTTTATAATATCTAAATAATATACAATTCTTCTGTCTCTCTTATAAGATAAATTAAAAAAATTATTACAGTTTTATTGCTATGAAACAATTAACTATACTTTTGAATTAATTATTAAGGAATTATTTTAATAGCTCTGTAAACATAATTAGGTTATTAAAATAAATAAATAATAAAAATCGTAAAAAAATGGTAGCAATAATATCCTTATGAGTCGCAACAAAAAAGAATGCTAAAAAATGTAATACAGAATTATTGAACTTATATTCTAATATAATATTTTTAATATGAAGAATAAGAAAATATAAATATGATTAATATAATAAATATTCCTAATAAAAATTTTTTAATTAATTTCTATAATTTAATATATCTATAATCTATAATATAGAATATAAATATAATATTGTTAAATTTTTCGAAAATTTTTAAGATTAAAATTTTGTTCATTCTATATAAAATCATGCATATACAAAGATAAACTTAATTCAAATTATTTGCTATACATTTAAGTATGTATGTTATTTTACCTTTGCAATTCAAAGTTTACTTCCATAAATCAAGCTTTTATCACCAGTGGTTCTACAACTCGAATTAATTATGTGTTGCAAATCAATAATCGATTATTGGATACTTTTCTTTCCTTCAATTATTATAATTATTGTATTCAAAAATGACATTTACAAATTTGAATCATTATACAATTATATTATTTCAATAAAAAATAACAAAAAAATACAAAGTATCGAATTTTCATTTATTAAATTTTTTTACCCGAAATCCTCGATAAACTTTGGTAAAATAAAACTTTTATAATTTGCAGATTTTAGTTTTTGAAATTCAAATTGCTAGATATAATTATAGAAATATGTAATATAAAATAACAGTTGTGATGATTGGCGAATAATGTTTATAAGATATAGTTATGATTTGTATTATCAGATTATTGGATGTCAGATTATGAGAATTTTATTAAATAATTGAAAACTAATTAAACTATCATCAAAATGTGATCATAGACGGATCATATGTGCGTAAAGATTGAATTTCCTATAAATGTATATCAGACATACATATATCTTGCATGATAAGTTGAAAAATTTGAGATTTTAATGCAATTGGATATCTAGTAGTAATATCTAATAATATCTAGTAATAATTTTTGTTTTGGATACAGACTTACCTATCCCTTCAATGACATAACGATCCTTAGAACTCATGTCTGCAATTTCCGTCACACTGACAACAATTTTCACACTCATCGCTACACAATTAGATGTTCACTGAATTGTAAACATGTATGTATTCCACTTACAAAATGATCAAACGTGATTATTCTTGATAATTTTTTGTTTTTAACTTCACATATAATTACAAATTGCTATAGCCTGTAAATCGTCTTTGTTGTTTCGAATAATTTGTTTCATTATTTCAAATATTTTATATATCAAGATTTAAAATATTTAAAATTATTATATATATTTAATAATAAAAATTTTCTTTTTTGTTCAAGATGCAAGATAACATCATGTTATAATCAAAGTATAATATATAGTTAAATATTATGCAAAATTGACATAAGAATAAATAAATTTAATCACATATTTCTTAATGTTCCTTTAACATCACAAATTCATATTCAGTTATTTTCTGTTTTAATTAAACAATGTTTAATTTATTCTTTGATTTGTTCTTTTTTGATTTAATTCTTTAAATATGTAATTGGCATAATAAAAGCTATCAACTGTTAATCAAGGTTTTTATCATTATACTATAATCCCAGGGCTCATTAGAAATAACGTTTCCTGCGGGCCATAAGATAACCTTGAATCTAGACGTAGCAGACACGTTACGTAAAACCAAAGTTACGAATGCTGATTTTCCGGCTTCTTGATGATATAGACGACCAGCACAGGTGTTTTGTCGTAAATGACATTGTAGCAGTTTCTTGAAATGCACGCACATTTTCCTTATAGATCATGTTTGATCTGCTGACAATAACTATGGTTATTTTATATAGTATGTTGAGATTTGTATTTTTTTATAAAACTGTTGAAACAAAGCATCAAAGAACGAATGTGTAAGAATACAGACGGAAGAAAAAATGGAAGTATAATTACAGAATAAAGAATACGTACTTCTTTTGTGCTTTTTTAATATTCTTTTCTAAAAAACATTTTTTAATCTATTGTGTGTACAATTTATATAATTTATATATTTATATTTATATAATTTATATAATCACACTTTTTATCGAAGATTTTATTTCAATAATTTCTTTTCTTTTCATTAAGTCTTTAACATCTTTTTAATGCGATTTCTTTTTTTTTTAATTATTATTATAATTATTTATTAAATTAAATAATTCAAAGATAAAATATGCTATAAACAGCAATTTATTCAAATCTCAATTTTAATTTATATTATTTCTGAAACTTGAATTTTTGTTTTGCAAACAACTGATATTATTTACTTTCTTCTTCTACTTGTCTTCTTTTGTTATTTGCTATTTTATATATTTTATTTGTAATAAAAGATATAATATCTTACATTTTATATGTAGTAATATTTTTGCATATTTAATTTTTAATGTTTTAAAACGTAATTTGTACCATTTTGTTTATTTTCCTCTTCGTATTTTCTATTCATGTAATATATACATATATTGAAGTATATAGTCAATATTTATTAACTATTTGAAATGATATATAATATATATAACACGATATATTTTTTTTTAAATGTGTAAAAGAAATTAATAATAATTCAACATGCAAAAATAATTCACATAATAACTCTAAATATTTATATTCAAAAAATCACCTTATTCACAAGTTTGTTTGTATCTTCCTAACTAAGGAAGAGGAAAACAGAGAAACCAGAAAAACCAGAAACAGATATAAAGAACGAAAAGAAAAAAAAAAAAAGAAACGCGAATTATTCCATACAACGTGCGTTGTTCGTTCAAATGACAAGTATTTTCACAAAATGTTGAAGTTTCATTATCGAATAATAATCCTAATAATCACGAGTCACGTGGTGAACAACTGCTATAACTTAAATAATAAAACTTAACGCATGCGACAGAAACTTCGGAAATCAATCACTATCCTACATACATCAAGCCGGATTTAACGTAAATGACAGAAACTACTGCTGCTCGTTCTTTCCTGTAATAATAGGTGCGTAGTTTGGTGGGGAACTAAAGGTATATTTGAGTGGGGATAGTGAAGGTGGGATAAACCTTTAAGAACTTGCAGTAAAGAGGTACAAGGTAACCTCTGTTTTTCACATTATAATGTAATTTGTTATATTTTCCAATATTTGGTGTAATTATAAATATTTTAATTTTTTCAAATAATAAAGATTCATTTAATATGATTATAAATTAATATTAACTTAATTTGTGGAAATGAAACATTGAAATCGTTATAATAAAATAAAATAAATTAAATAAAATAAAAAGTAAAAATATATATCTCTTAAAATCTTCAAGTATAAATACTTGATATAGAATATTACGTACATTAATTAAATGAAATTATAAATAATTAAATAGTGATTTATTTTATTAATTGATTAATGATTTATTAATATTAATATGTATCATATATGTATCGTATAAGAATAAAAAATACATATAGAAATAACAAAAAAATATTTTGAAAAATAAGCAAAATATCATTTATTTTTTTATATTTGATAATGTCATATATTATTCTTTTAAATTAAATTACTAATTTATACGATTATTAATAAAGATTTTTGCGAATTAATATTCTTTAGAATAAATATTTTTTATAATGATTTAACTGAACTATTTATGAAAATTAAAATATTATATTAAATATCTCTTTGTGATAATCTATCATTCAATTCTCATTTTTATTATTATTAAAGAATAAAAATAAATGAAATTTGTTTTTTCAAAATCATAATTTCAATTTAAATATAGAAAATATAATACCGTAATAAAATAAAATATATTTATTTTTTACTTTAAATTACTGATTTAATTAGAAATATTGAAATAAAAGTTATGTAAAATAAAATCATAACTTTACATTTACTATTGATTGCAGATTAATTAATAAAGTATTAATGATATATTTTTTTATTTATTTAATTCTTTTACTTAATAAAGTAAAATTTAATCGTTATATATATCTTAATTTTGTTTCAAAATTTCATTATATTTCTAATATTTAAAAAAATTCAATTATTCTTAATATTTTTTTAAAGACATCACACACTCATAAGTTAAAATGTATTTGACTACATTTTAAAGATAATGATAATAATAAAAGATATGATAAGAAAAAGCAAAGTGACCTTGAAAAAAATGGCTTTTAAAACATTTTTCTCACGATATATATGATACGATAAAAGTATATGTTTTCTTATGCATAAGTAACGATGATCTTGAAAAAAAAACAACTCTAAGAATATATTTATTTAAATAACTAAATATTTAATTATTTTAAAATAAATATTATATTTTTGAACATTTTGCAATATCATTTAAAATGAAAGAAATATTTAAACATTCCGATTTTTTAATTGAGAAAAAAAATATATATCTATATTTGTTCATTATTTCAATTCATTTATATATATATATATATTTTTTTTAATTAATAATTGAAAAATATTGTTTTGAAAAAAATATGCCATAAACATCCGTTATATATTATAATTTTAATAATTATATAACTATTTTATTTTTAAAAAAAATTATTCTACAGTTTTCATTAATTATTGATTAATAAAAGAAAAAAATTGAATTTCAAACTATACTGAAGTAGTTCTATTAATTTAGAACAAATATTTGATTATTTAAAAGAGAAAACTTCGTATAATATTTATCTATTATTATTTTTATTAATTTATAATATATCATTGTTTATATATATATAGTTTATATTTTAATGTGATATATATAGTTATATGATATTTTAATATGATATATATAGTTAATAGTTATAGTTTAGGATAAATTGTATATACATTAACGAAAACATACATTTTATTTTACATTTTAATTTATATTTTATATTTTTATAATTTTCCAACTTTATGAAAGAGAGAAAACTATTACTGGATTAGTAAAATTGAAAAATTGAAAATGAATATAAAGATGATTTCATACTAATCAATTTTAATTAGAAAATAATTTTATAAATACGCGCTTAAATATATATATATATATATATATATATATAATATTTATTAAATTTTTTTTTTGTGATGGTCATATGTAATTGATTTTATTCAAATTTGATGTATGTGAAAAAAAAAAGATTATTCTATCATATAATAACTTGATTTTTATGATTCATGGATACTAATTAACAGGAAATCTGATATTATTCAATTTTATCTGATCAAGATTTTTGATTACAAATTCTTTTAATAAATCTTTGTTATTTTAATTCAATATATCTTAATTCGATATGAAAATATATATGCATATGTCCATATTTATAGTTTTACATACAATCAAATTTACAATTATATTAATATCTACTTAATTAACTTAGCTAATAAAATATTTAACTAAATATTTAATTAAATATTTAATTTTGATAACTTTATTTTCTATAATTTCACATTTGAATATATATTTCGTTATTATTTGTACTCGCTTATAACAGATTTAATCTAATGTGAACATTTTTATATATATTGTTATAAGTATATAGATACAATTTCAGTTATTTAATTATTCTATATAATATTTAACAAAAAAATAAAGTAAGTAATTTTTTACATTATGTTTTACGATTGATAAATGATTGATTGTTTACAAGTACTTTATATACGATAATGATTCATTATATTTCTACATATAAAAAAAGATCACTTCAATGATCTAAGATGGAATTTTAATATTTTATAAATAAAACTGGTAAAATAAAGTGCATTATATGAGAATGAAGAACATTTTTTACTTGAGTAATATTAATTTGTATTTACATTTAATTGTCTTTCTTCATACGATTAGAAGTCATTCTATATATTATAGAATCTCGTCCTGGATCCATTTGTGAAATGGCAACTGTTTTTTTGCAACAAACAAATAAAAATTAGAATAATGTTATATTATATATATTATTGAAAATAATAAAATAATAAAAATTACGTACTGCAAATAGCAAGAAGTGAAAAGACAAAAACAACTCCAAACCATAAGAATATATTAAAGATGACAGGATAATCTTCTGAATATTTTTTTGAAAGATTATATACCTGAAACAAAAAGCTCGATGTATAAAATATTATATTCTATTACAATAATAAAATTGTAAAAATTCCCAATTTAATGAATTCATTAAATTGCATTTATTATATTGTGTAATATCATTTATTATATTGTATAATTAATGTAATATTATTTTCATAGAAAACTTATGCCTGTTTAAGTAAAAATTAAGATAATTATTTAATTTTATTTATATTTCTTAAATGATATTTATTTGTTTCTATAATATGTTTCGTGCCATGTTTTATCATTCGTGAACCATGTAAACTACAGTACAGTTGGTGAAAGTAAAACTTTTATTAAATAATAATTATATACTATATTATCCAAATAAAGATAAAAAAAAAGATGGAAATATCAGAAATTTAATGAAAATCAAAATGATTTTTTTTTTCTAGCTAAATTTCCTATAACTTTCATTCAAATTTAAAATACAAACGGCACAAAACGTGTTAAAAAATATTATACTTTTTCATTATATAAAATCATCATGCATCTTACCAAATAATCGCATTGATTTTTCATCCATGATAAAATTATTATTAAAAAATAATTAAGAAGTATTATGTAACTAACAAAGTTTAATAATTATCTAATTTGTAATTCACTTAACTTGAATATTTATAAAATCCATTATATAAGAAAATGTTTTACAATAAAAGTTAATATAATTTAAAAAAAACATCAAAATGCTATAATAATTTTTACATTAATTATAAATATAATATTGAAAATCAACTCGATATTTTTCAATAAAACATCTCTATACATCTAATTATGTATAGATTTTAAAAAATATTGAACAACATCATCAAACAAAATAAAATATAAAAGAAATTTTATGGTTAACTTTCACGATAGAAATTATTTATTTTAACAATTATATATACTTGTATTATTTTTTTTATATATTATTCGATTTTTTCCTACAAAAAATATTAAAAATTTTACTTAAAAAATTTTCAAAAAAAATGTTCAATGTTTCTTGTTGCATATAGAAATAAATTTTTTTAAAACAGTTTTCTAAAAATATACAAAAAATAATTAATAATTATTAAGTTAAGTAAATTATTTTATTATCATGTACGGATTGTTTGAATTTATACATAACAATTCATATTTATAATATATAAATTGTTCAAGCTTAAAATAAAAAAAATCAACATCCAAATATCTAACTTGCCTTATATACTATTTAAAAATTAGATGGCAAAAAATTGATAAATATAGAAGCATATATCAAATACAAAATAAAATATAATTAAATATATATTTGCATAAAATACTATTGGCAACAAACATTCTCATTGTCAAAAAACAATGCATTCTAAAGCTTTCGATAAATTTCTACAAGCGTATTAATAATTTTTACAAACTGAAACCACATACATCCTTTACTTTAACGATTACATTTACATTCATTATGCTATCATTATATAAAATGTTTTACATCTTTCTTCTATGTGTTATCATGCGATACAGATGTAAATGTAAATAATAATAAAATATTTCATTCAGTATAATGATTGAAATAAAAGAAGAATGTGAAATAAAAACGAAAATATATTTTGTTTCACTAATAATAATATCTAATAATTACATTAGTTTTGTTGTTATATATAAATATAAAATTTAAATATATATTAAATGAACTTAATAGATTATTAATTTATATTTGATGGAATGATAAACTTAAATATTATATAAGTAAAAGAAATAAGTGGTATCAATAAATAAAATTTTATAAGCTATTACTAAGATATCATTCACGGTAATAATATATGAGAATATTTATTTAAAGATATTTTTTTAAGGTATATTACATTCTTGTACTCACGCAATATTCATTATTAATAACATGTCCTAAAATTCTATTTGAATTTTTTAATTTTTATAAATTGTATTTTGATTTATATCATTAATCTAATATATTCTATATCACGAATATTTATTAAAAATCATACACAATTAAAAAAAGATATATATAAAATTATATTGGTTTCTGTAATAAGACGATTATTGATAAAAAAAATATGTAATTTTTATATCAAAAAATATATATATTTTGGAAACTAAAGAATATATATATTTTTTTATGCGGAAATGTACACATATTACTAAAATAAATGGGAGTATATGGAATATTTCTCGAATAAGCATCCTTATTTTGATATGATAAAATGCGTATAAATTTTCAAATTATAACTTAATTACAAATTAAAACTTTAGAATGCATGTTAAGGAGTTTATGATACCTGTCCTATATTTTGTGTGTTGGAATATATTTTATGCTCCTTATTAGTCAAATCCTGATTTTCATTGTTTCCATTATGATCAGAATTATCATTATTTGCAGTAGAATTGTTCGTTTCATCGGAGGATATGTTAGTGTTATTAGTTTTTAAATCCTCTTCTCCTTCTGTCTTTCTGTTTTCTGGTTGCTCATCTTGCTATAAGTATATGTGTTTATGTAAACGACATTTGTTGCGTGTTAATTCAAAATAATCCAAATTTAATTTATTTTTAATCACAGTAGTTGTCGATTGTTTAATACAAGATATATGAAATATATTTAGCCACATTGTGAATATCTTCGTGTAAAATAAAAATAGAAGTATAGTAAAATTTTATTATTTTCTAATATTGTATTTTTTATTTTTTATCTTAATATTTAATGTATTATGACGACTATTGAACTCAAATTAACATCGAGAAATTTATTTTTTTTTAATAAAATATATTCAAAATTTTTGAAAAGATTTATTTTTATAAAATTAGTTTTTTTTAATCTTACTTTTACTTATATATTATATATTTTATTTATATATTATTATATTTTTTCAAATTAAAATCATATATTTTTTTAATAAACAATTTCAATAATTTAATATGATAACACTAATAATTGTATAACAATAATTATAGAATTACTTTTTTTAATGTCGTTATAATTTATTATGTTGTTAAAGTATTTTTAAGAAATCTATTGGATACCCTAATAATTCTATTTAGGTCCTATCTTATGTAAATTTCCAGAGTTAGAATCTTAAAAGATAAAAATAAGTTTTTCTCTTCACAAATAAAAAAAATAGAAAATATTAGAAATGAATTCTATCAAAGAAAATTTGTCTGACGATTATAAAAAAAAAGACAGAAAAAAAAAAAATTGAAGAATGCGAACTTATTTGATTATTCAAAATCAGTTTTCTTCGATCATAAAATAAAATATATATGTATATAAAAATTGACGAAAAATATCTTGAATTAATAAATTAACTATAAATAAATTAACTTAAAAACTATAAATATTTAAAAGTAAGAATATTATTTAATATTTATTCCTTTAACGATCAATTAAAAAAAAAATACTAGAACATGGAGCATAATAATAAATCAATTATAGTCTAAAAATAATCAACAGAAAAAAAATTAATTAGGATTAAAGAAATATATAAAAAAATATCAGAATAGAATATATCATTCAATAATAATATATCTAAGTATGAAATACAAAATAATAACAAAATTTAATAACTTCATTTTACCATTATAATCATTAAAGTTATCCTTTTTTTGAGGGAAAATTTATATATTATATATATATTAATATTAATTTTTGCGTGATAATCATTTACAGCGATTACTGAATAAATATTGGAATTTGAAGAATGTTTAAAATTTTGATAAAATGACCATTTTATAATAAAATAATATAATTTAATTAATAAGAGAGTGTAATTTTTTACATAAACACATTTAATATTCAATAACTTTTAAGTAATATTTTAATTGTTATGATAATTTTAAAATCTTTAATCTATATGTATATGTAAAAATCTTTGATCTATATGTATATATGAATGAAAAACTATATAATTCTTTATAAATCCTATTAACTTTTCATGCAGTTATTCACAAATATGTAATATTCACTTTCAGAGAAAGAGAAAATTATTGGGAAAATAAATTCAAAAACACATTAGTAAATAAAAACACAATTTATATGTGGTATTCAATGAATAATTAACGAATAATTAAGATTTAAAAATAGTATAATTGTGAGTAGAATGTCCCATATTAATGACTAATATTAATACGTAAGAAATATTTTACATGCAATTTAAGAATAATTATAATAAATATTTTTGTTCTGAGATTTTTTAAAATTTTTAAAACCAGCAACAGTTTTTTGCATATTTTTTTTTTTTCCTATATTTTGTAGTTATTTAGATATATATTTATATATGATATGATTTTGAATTTATAATATAATAATTTTTAAAGTTATGATATTCATTCTCAAAATTAAAATTAAATATGAAATTTATTTCAAATTTATTTCTATATACATATACATATGTATATAGAACAAATTAAAATGAAAACTGTTATGAATTATAATTTAGTTAAAATATAAAAAATTTTAAAATAACATTATAAAGTAAGTTTCATAGTTTTTTCTTATAGAAAATGAAACTTTTCTTAATGAAATCAATGCATCACACTTACAGATTGTCATTGGTGCCAAATAACATGCAACAAAATATTAATATATTAAATTATACTATATTAGAAGATTGTTAATTATACACATATGTATAATTAAATACCTGTAATAGTATTTTAAAATTAAAATAAGTAATAAATTAATTATATTTTAATATTTATTAATGAATATAAATAATAGAAAAATGTTAAAAACTGAATTTTATAATCTTATAAAAAGAGAAATTAATATTTAATAATTTTAGAAATATTAAAGGATTAACTATTAAGTACTATATATGAAATATATGTATAAAATTTGAAAAAAAAAAATTTAATATTTGTATATAATTGTATAATATTGTATAATATTGTATAATATTTGTATTCCATATATTTTGGACTTATATTTTGGAGAATATTTTATAAAAATTATATGGTAAATATTTCTTGATAATTTACCATATCTTAGATGTTTTAAATCATAGAATTATAATTACTATCTGTATTATTTATAATTTAACATGTTTTAAATCATGCAAGAATCTACTTTTTCAATTTTAACAAAATTTTCATGCAATCATATGAACATACCTTTTTTACATTATTATTGTTATTATTATAATTATTATTATTGTTGTTATTAAATTTTGTATTATTGAGCCATATTTCTTCTTTTAGATTTCTTCCAATAGATTCTATATTTTTAGTTTTATTAGCCTATAAAATATATAGGTGACACAATCATTGAATTCTAATATATGAAACTTTTATTAAACTTGCAATGTGAATATTCACTATTCACATAAAATAAAAACATTTATTAATAACATTTTTAATACTTTTACCATAAAATTCAGTTTCTACATAAAACATAGTTAGTTTTGGATGTATAATGTTATAGCCATGTATTTCATCATATAATTAATTCTGTTATAAATTCATATTAATGAATATACGAATATAAAATGATATAAAATATCCTATATGTAAATATTATAACCTAATATATTTATCAACAAATTATTATTATATCCAACCCAACAAATAAGTGGGATAGGTACAGTATTTAAGAGAAATGTAGATCCAATCTGCCACCTTAATCAGCAATTTCTTCAATAGCTAAAATATAATATATCAAATATATTATAAGATCTAATATATTATTCATATCCCTTCATATGGTTGCTATATTTATATTAAAAAATATTAAACATTACAAATGTAAAAAATTATTTTATTAAATAGAAAATTACAGATTATAACAATATTGATAATACAAATGCACATAAAATGCAGAATTTAAAATTTTTCATATATAAAAATGTTTTCAAATTTATCTGTTATCTGACTAACAAATTATCATTTATAATTTTATATGTTTCAAATATATTTTATATAAGTATTATTTTATTTAATTTAAAATTAAATTATATTATAATTAATTTATTTAATTAATAATAATTTTTTAAATCGTTAGATGTGTTAATTAAATGATAATAAGTAACTTATTTAGTTTTGCTAATTGTTTATAAATCTTAAATTTGATGAAAATAGTATTTATATAAAACAAATTTATTTACATTTGTAATATCAACATTGCTAAATCTTATACAAAAGACTATACTTATTGCTAAATTTTATATTAAGAACTACTATACACTTCTATTGAAATATATAATAATTTTCATTTTCTATAAGATATCATCTTTTTCAAATTTTTTAGAAAACAATTTTTAAAAAAATTTAAAAAAAGTTAATTTAATAATCTTCAAACTTTGCACATTTTTAAATTTATATACGAATTATTAATTTCTAAAATTAATTTTTCTACAAAAAAGACAATTAGAAAAAAAGATTAAAATCATATTTCATAACATATATATATCAGCAGCTGCAATTTTCTATTATGTAATGTATTGAATACAATATGCAATATATCCTAAAAAATCATAGAAATTTACGTTTTTTTATAATATATATTTTTATATTTTAATTTTTACTAATATAACAATAAAAATTTATTCAATTCAAAATGTTATATTATTTTTTAATTATATAATTATTAAAAAAATTTTTCATAAATAAAAAAATCTATCTTTCTATTTTTTAAATTTTAATAAGAATTATGTAATTATTATTAAATATACACATATTAGTTTATTTTAATTAATATATAATTGCAATTTGTAAAATATTATTACTGTTAGTATTAAAATAATTTATGTTAATAATAGTTACTTTGAACAATATATTTTTTATATATAGTTATATATTTTTATTTTAATTATTTTATTATATAAATATATACATACTTTTAAATAATATGTATTTTCTTGATTTAAAATCAATATAAAAAATATATAAATATGTTTTAAAATATAATAAAATAAAATTTTTTTTTTAATTAAGGAATTGAATAAAACTAGAATAAATTTGAAATATTATTGTCAATTCCATTTATTCTTTATTTTTCAAATAAATGTTATGTTTTAATTTGAAAAGAAAAAATATAAAATAAATTTTATCTTTAGTAAAAATAAATTTTTACTAATTTTTCAATGTTATGATATTTTTTAAATTTAAAAAGTATAAAAAACTACTAGAATAAATTATATTGAAAAAATCTAAAAAATCTCTTCATAAAAGTGTATTTTCAAAAAACTTACATTTTTATGTTTATTTAGTATACATTGCATTTCATAATTTATTTTTATAAAAAGTAATAAATGTTGATATAAATATATATTTTTCTATTTATTTATCTATCTTTTCTTTAAATCTAATTGAAAAAATTAACATTGATATTTTAATGTATATATATGTACAAATATGCAAAGTATGAAAAAAATCAATCTGGATTAATTCTATATTCCAGTATTCCAGTATTTAAATTAATTGCTTTTTTGATATTCATAATTATAATGTTATAAATTTGTTTTATAAATCATATATAATTTTAAATACAAACCGTATCTGAAGTATCCCGTTTTTGCCTTTCTAGAGTTACTGAACGGATATGATGTACTTTACTTGCATCATTTGTAAACGCCACAATTAGTACCTGAATTAGAATATTAATAGTATTTTATTATATTATAATAATATTTTATTATATATACATTAATAAATATTAAAGTTTAAAAATATTATAAAATATTTTTTAAATTCTTACCTGACCATCATAAGCTTGAATAAATGCATCATGAATAACATTTAAAGCATTATTCAATAATGATAAAGCTTCTCTAGAAGTAGTCGAATTGCTTCCATAAGCATCAAAAATAGGTCGCAAACCAGATATAACAAGCCAATAAATATCAGACTTTGAATCTGGTTTAATTGCTGAAGGTGCTTTTTTAGCAATAGCATGAAGTAACTGAACTTCTTCCAAAAACTTTTTATCTTCTTCCTTGCTTAAACTTAAGGCTCTTAAAGATGTTTCATCAATAGGAGTAGGTTTTAATTCTCCAAGTGCAGATTGTCCTAGCTAAATTCATATTATATAGAAATTATTTTTATTATTATTTATATATATATATATATTATAAATATTGTACATTTATGCAATAAATATTAAATTATTATTATTATTGTATTATGTTATTTTTTAATTATTATATTTTAATGAATTTAATAATTAATGATTTTATGAAAATAATACATGTATTAAATTAATAATTAGTTTCATTAAAAACTCTTACTTTATTTTGTTAAAATTAATATTTTATAATAATACTCACAGCATCTAATCCATCACCTAAAGATATTCTTACTAAAGTATTATCATTATCTCTCTCTTCAAGACGTTCTCTAAGAGCTTGCCATGTAGTTTCTTCAACTTCATTAACATTTAATGGAAATCTTTTTCCTTTTGGTATATCTAAAGAATCCACTCCTTCTATTGCTACTACAACGACAGCTTCTGGAAGTCTGAATGGATCAGTAATAGAAATGCCATTCCATATTCCTCTCTATAACAGAAATGATAATATATAATTAAAATTTGAAATATTTCACGATAAATCTGCAGCAATATAATTTTATATTTAATTTATGTTAACTTTTTAATATTATTTTGATTAAAATATTATTATATTATATTACAATTATTAATAAATAAAAAATATATAAAAGAAAACTTAAAGATGCACCAGTTTGACAGTGAAACCTAAAGCAGCAGCTAATACTTCTTTTAGTAAACTTTGTTCCACTTCTTCATTTCCATTGAATAAAACACTATTTGGACTATGTAAAACTACAAAATCCCCATTTGCTGTAACTATAATAATAAAAAATAATAATATTAAATATAATAAAAATATTTTAAATTAATTAAATAATATACAATTAAATGATATAAAATTAAATATCATTTAAAAAAAGTTACCTGTAACTAACGCAGTTATAAAACACAAAAATAATTTTAACATTTTTATTTTAAAGGATATCTAAAATTCTAAGTAAAAATTCAGACACTCCCTTAAATTCAATACGAATTCACAAACTGATCATATGACATTAACGTAATAGAAGGTTTAGTAGTAACAACATGTGCTGACATATAGTAACAGTTATATGAACTAAAACGTGAATAACAAAATCATGTAGATAATGTAGTATATATATAATGTAATATAGAAAAAATAATATATTTTTAAGTTTTTTATTTTTAAAAATCAAAAAATTATTTTTCAATTTCAAATTATTAATATTAAATTAATATTTAATTTGATTAAATTTTTAATTTTTCTAAGAAAATAGATAATATTTACAAAACTGTTAGATGTCGCTAGTATAGTTTCTGGGCGTTAACTAAAAATATGAGTAGCGATATACCTTCAACTCGTAATTTATGCCTGTCTCACCTCGTGACTACTTTATTGATTACTTCTGTAATCGAAATCGGGAAGTGTGTTAATCTATTAAATGTTTGGCAAGAAGAAGTTACATTGAAGCAATTTTATTTCTAATCTTGTCTTTTTCTGTTTTACTTAAAAATTTTTTTTTCATAACAAATATATAATTATTTTAACCTGTATTAATTGAATTTAATATGGGATCGCTTTTTCGAAGCGAAGAGATGACCTTGTGTCAACTCTTCTTACAAAGTGAAGCAGCTTATGCTTGTGTCTCAGAACTTGGAGAACTTGGCCTTGTACAATTTCGAGATGTAAGTATAATATATTTAAAAAATGTAAAATATTTTTGAATTTTTTTGCCATTTTTACGAGAAAATATTTAATTGTAAAATTAATAAGTAACATCTATTTTTTTAAATTTCGAAATGAAAAAATAAAATTCAGAAATAAACAATAACATTTTAATATAGCAATAATGATTTCTTTAAATTAAATTATATTATAAATTATAATATAATAGAGTATAAACATATAATTAAATTACATACAAATTAATGTTACATTGCTAAAAATATCTTTTATAATATGTAAAACATCTGTTTTAATTGAATATGGCTAAGTATTCTTTAAGGAAGTGATGTCACAAAAAAAAAATGTTCTTATGAAATGGGAATAATTTTTCTATAATATATATATTTTATATATATTCTATATATAGAATGATGAGGAAATTCGAAGATCAATTTAATTTTTTAATGGGAATATCTTTTTTAAATTTTATTTTTGATAGTATTATAATGTTTATTTAAGATATTATTTTTTGCATGATTAAAATATCTCACATTATTAAGTTTTAAATTTAATATTATGAATTGTATAATAATATAATGAAAAATTAATTCTTCATTTAATATTGTATATGACACAAAAAGAAGTAATGATACTTATTAAAATTTTTTATTAATATTTTAATTTATTTTATTTAAAACTATATCATATTATATTTTTAAAAATAGTATAGTATACTTTTGAATTAAAATAATTATATCCATTAAGAAAAGCTTATTGAAAAAGATTAGGAAATCTATAAAATAATATTCATTTTGATAAAATTTTTATTATTTTTATTGTCCCAATAAATTTTCATATCAATATATCTATTCATAACTAAAAAAGAAAATAAATAATATATTTTTCCAAATTATTTAAAACATAATTTTTAATGAATAGTGACATTTCATATATGTACAAATAATTATATATTGATATAATTGAAATTTTTATTTTTGTTAAATAAATATATAAAATAATTTTTGAATCAAAATATCTTATATATTTAACTCATTAATTAAAGAAAAATAATAATAATATATATATATATTATTTTATATATCAATTTGTGTTTGTATAGCTTAATCCTGATGTTAATGCTTTCCAACGAAAATTTGTTAATGAAGTACGTCGTTGTGATGAAATGGAACGTAAATTACGATATTTGGAAAAAGAATTAAAAAAGATGGTATTCCTATGCTCGATACTGGGGAAAATCCAGAAGCTCCACAACCCAGAGAAATGATAGATCTTGAAGCAACATTTGAAAAATTAGAAAATGAATTACGAGAAGTTAATCAAAATGCTGAGACACTTAAACGTAACTTCTTGGAGTTAACTGAATTAAAGCATATACTTCGAAAAACACAAGTTTTCTTTGATGAGGTAAGGATGAATTTATTAAAATTTTTAATAATGTTTATGTAAAATATTATACTAGAGCTTAAATATGTAAAAAGTATATAATATAATATTTTTTTAACTTGCACGAAAAATAAATAATGTATATTATCATATATATTTACTACATATTATAACAAATATATACATATATGTACTAACATTAATATATAGCATAGGGAATGTATAACTGGGATCATTTTTATAACTCTGTAAATAATGATTTTAACAATGATTGATTCATATTTAAATGTTAGATGATTAAAAAATGATTGATTCATATTTAAATGTTACATTAAAAAACAACTGCATGTTGTATTATTGAAATTATTGTATTATTGTTGTATTGTTGTATTATTTTATTTAATCTATTAGATTGTGATACATTTCCTTCTATTTTTTAAATAAAAATCAAATTTTTAATGAAAAATAATATTGAAATTCATTTATTATATAATATAAATATAATATAAACTTAATATTTTAAAAAAATGTAAGATATAGAAATTAAATAAATAATTTAAAAGTTTAAATAATATAACAAAATGTTACTTAAACCAATTTTTGTTAAAAGCATTATTTACAGAGATATTTATTTTGATACACATATAATGGATTTCGACAATGGAAATAATTTTACACAATAAAATATAATAAAAATCAAGTATAATAAAATTGTGATTGAAGCTTTATTTCTTCAATTATAAAAATTAAAATTATAATTAATATTCAATTTATTTAATTGAAAATAATTAAGCATTAAATTAAAATTCAATTCAATTAACAAACTAAGAACATAAAATAGAATAATATATCCTATATAGATAATATTTCAAAAGCAGTTTTATAGAAAGTGTAAAATTTCATTTTATTCAAATTTAATATAAAATTAATAAAATTATAATATTATAATATTAATCTTGTATAATAATTGAAATTTAAGAAAATTAAAATTTTTTTATCATATATATTTTTATTATATATAAGCAAATTCTTATAAATAATTGACATGAGTCATATGTATCACAAATTTTTATGAGAGATTGTACATATTGTAGTATTATTATATGATAAACTGATAAAATGACTAGCTATTATATGATTATATGAATTTATATTATAATTCTATCATTTAATTTATTATTTACTTTTTTCTAATTTATAAAACTTGCCTATAATTAAACTATAAAAATAACTAGAGTAATCACAGTAGTTAGAGTATAAATTAATTATTTATGAACATAAACTAAAAGAGGAATTGATTTTTTTTTCAATTATTTAATACAACTTTATTAATTGAATGAGTTTGATAATTGAGTTTCCATAATTTAATAAATGTATATAAATTATTAAATAGAATTATTATTACATATATACATTAATATGTATATACATATACATTATAAAATTTGAATTAAAAGTATTGATATATATAATTTGCTTTATATTCATTTATTACTAATTGAATTATTGTATCTTTAATGTATTTTATTATGAATTTTAAAAACACAATTTAAATATAAATAAATATAATAAATAAAGCACAAAGCTTCAATCAAAATTTTATAATTTTTATTTTTACTTTATCTTTTCATATGAAACTATTCTTAAAATTTTTTTATAATTATACAATGAATTATGAGAAAAAGAATAAATGAATATCTCTTATAACTATTTTATATATAGTATATATACATATAATTTAAAAATTTATAAAATAATTGATTCATTAGCTGTTTGTAATATATATATATTATATATATATATATAAATTTTTAAATTGAAAGTAATAAATACGTATAAATAAACATATATACTATTAAAATATTATCATTTTTATTCATTTATCATTCTTAAAATAATTTTAAATATATGAATTTTAATGTCATTAAATAATTAAATAATTAAAAAATAAAATTGGATTTTTTTAACTTTCAAGAGAGATATTCATGTACTCTATTTATTATAATACATTATATACACATACAAATATACAATTATTTCATTATTAAATTGATTTTCAAAAAATATATTAATGAAAAGTTAATTTCATAATTCTAACATTTCGTGGAGAATTTCACTTTAAATTTTTTCATAACTTTTAATTTCAAGATTTTTCAATACTACAATAATACTTTATTTTAAATAACATATTTTTTAAAGAAATAATAAAAATAAGATACAAATATTTTTGAATTATAGATTTTTATTTCTCTAACTAATAAAAAATTACAATTTACATATATGTATTTTATTATATATATTTGCAATTTGAATACAAATTGAAGTAGTTTGAATTTATATTATTAATAAATAAATATTTTGTATAATTAATTTTATTATTATGAAAAATATTGTGTGATTATTGTATTTACACTCTTTTTAATACCTTATCTTAAAAAATCTTATTCTTAAAAAATTATATAATTCTTTTAAAAAAGATATTAATGTAATAATTAAAATTGGAAAAAAATAATTTTGAAAAAAAAATGTTTTTATATCAAATTAGTTTTATGAATGTAACTTTCATTAAAATATTTTGTTACATATTAATATGTTTTATAAATGTCATGATAATATGTTCTAAATAAATATTAAGAATTACAATTAAAATTTTAAAATGTATTAAAAATTCAAAAAAATTTCGAATATTCAAATCTCGAAACTTTATTATTTTTGAAACTCTTAAATTTCAAAAATAATAATTTATATAACTTGTGAAAGTGTTGTAAATATTGATAATATGGATTTATACTTATTTAAATAATCCAATTAAATTTGTATTTAAACTTTAAATTTTTTTCAATATATTTAATCATAACATTATAATAAAAAAAAATGAAATATAAAAATTTAATTTTTTGCAAGTCAAAAAAAACTATTGTATTATTATAATATTAATTGATTATGAATCTGAATTTAATTCTTTAAGAACGGATTTCATTTGGCATAAATTTGATATATAATCCATGCTAATATGAATATAATTATTAAGAGTTTAAAGAATTTTAGAATTTAAAAGAAAAACAGTATTTTTGGAGTATTTCGAGTTTCGAGAGTTTTTGAAAATTTCGAAATCTTATAAGTCTTAAATTCGAATTTTGTGAATCTAAAAATCAAAATTTTTTATTTATAATAGAATTCATATACTTAATGAAACATAAAATTAATAATAAATTTTATTATTATTATAGTAATATTAAATGATAGCAGATTTCAAATATTGACACCTCTTGGAATATAAAAACTTTAAATTATATATAATATATCTTTTTCAAAATTAAAATTTGAAAAACTATTATTTAAAAGTTGAATCATTATTTAGTTTTAAATACATGAATTAAAGTTTTAAAGATTAATTATGTATAGCAATAAATTGAAAAAAAAATTACATGTAAATAATTCATTTGAGAATAATAAAGTTCAATTTATTTTTTTTAAATTGTTTAATAATATTGTTTTCAATTGATATACTGCTGTATTTCATTTGAATTTTTTCTGAGAGATATCATTATGATCAATTTGTTGTTATTTGATGCATGGAAATTGACAATTTATCTTACATTTTTCTTATACACTTCATGCAGACAATTCATACACATTTATGTAAATATACATATATACATATATATATATATTATGTATATATGTACGATAAATTTTTTTATACTAATTAGTAAATTTGTATATATAATTGTTAAAAAATGTTTAAAAAATAAAAAAGAAAATATATATTTATTTATTAATAAAAAGTTTTTTATATATAAGTTTACTAATAAATAAATATATATATATTCTTACAAAATAATATTTCAAAAATAATATGAAATAAGCAATTCTAATTTTTGGAAATTATTTGGTGTCAATATACATTAATGATTAAAAAAAATGATAAAAAAAAATCATGATTATAATTTAATTTTTTTTTAAACTATTTTTTATATTATAATTTGAATGTGATTTTATTTTATATTTAATTGTCTTGTTTGTTACAAAATATTTGTAATTATTGATATTGAAAAGTTGTATTCTTTGACATCAAATATTGTTCCTTAAAAATCGAAGTTTTATAATCTTTATATTTTATTATATTAATATTTTATAAAAGATTAAGCTTTATACACAATTATTCACATTGATTAATCATTTTCATCTTTCATATAAAAATGACAATGAGGTGATTTGATTAGAAAGATGTAGATTTGGATATTGCATTTTTATCTTAATAGTAGAAAATTAAATGTAATTTAAACTTTCTGCTTTTTGACCTCGAATATATGTATATACATAATATTAAAGGCTTAAACTATTTCTTTATTTTTAAATTTTTTATGCTATATTTATTTAATTATTGTAAATATAATACAATTTAAATATCTAAATAATTTTTATAAACATTGAGTATATTAACATGTGGCAGCACTTTTGGTATGTATAAAATTTGTTTAAATTAATATTTATCATTTTAGTTTACATAAATATAATGTTTCTAGTATGATGAATTTTGTGATACAAATAGTACATAATATTATTATAATATATTATAATAATAATAATAAATAATATAAATCTTGCTAATCAATAATTATATAATATTTCAATTAAGATTTTGGTAAATAATTATTCGTTATATATAAATATATATTTTTTAAATATCAGAATTATTTAATATAAAGTTTTATAGAGTTTATAAAATTTATAAAGTTTTTTTTATGAAATATGATAACAATAACAATCATATATTTAATAATATTGTAATTTTTTAATCAAATGGATACAAACGTATAAATATGTCATTATGAAATTTATTAATTTATTAAATAGGTTTTATTATATAAATTTAATTTAATAGCTAGATTTTATAACGTATGTAATTGATTAAAATGCATGGTAACAAAAATTGTATTATTTGTGTTTGATATCGATTTTATCTGTTGTAATATTGCTTCATAATATTATATAATAGAAGCAAGATTATTCTACAA